TAAAGTACAGGTGAAACAAGTATAGCTTAAATCCAGTTACGCAGCAACTGGTTGACTGTCTAGTAGGTCCAGCCAAGAAACTCAGAGGCCTCAATGCCCATGCGACTGAATTAGATCCCCTCCCCGAACACCCTGTATCTGTCTGCGCTTCCATCTCTGTCCTCTGAAACAGGCTTGCTGTAGGCTTTTGGGAATGGTCCCAAACTGTGCCTGAACATTGTTTTGGAGAATGCTAGCTGGTGCAGGGCAACAGTGTGCCAGGAACAGCTTCAGGAGTTCAGCAGTGTGGAGGATCATATTCAAGTGCTGTGGAATGCTCTGGCCACTACTAAATTTTACAGCTTTAAAGACTGAAAGACCAGAAGCCTATTCGTCAGTCGGTCTCTCAGAGTTTTGCTTTTAAGTATTTCCATAAAATATATTGACATTTGCATCTTGTCAGCAACTTGTGATGCTGTAAGAAGCATTTTTTTAGAACTTCTTATGTAGTGCAGATTATATGGGAGCAAATCTTAAGTCTTGTAACCTGCTTGGAAAAGCAGGTGAGAGGCTGAATATAACTGCAGGTGCAGAAAGCATGGAGAGAGCACCAGCTGTACCCACGCATTTGCAACACCCGGTTTGGTCCCCTTCACATGGGGAATATTGGAGATGTGACACTGAGTGTCACTTAGCTCCCAAGTGACGCTTCATTGTGATTACTTTCGTTGTGATTACCCATCACAGTGCATCCATATTTGTACCTAATTGTACGAGAAGAGCAGGCATCTTTACTGCAGCGTCATTTCCTCCCCTTCTACCCATACAGTGTAACAGCCATTTATAGAGCCAGAGGTTTCTTGTGATGGCTGGGGCAAATGTATGTTGGCCCGAAATATTGGCCAATAAATTATTGTCTCCTATACTGCCAGTAGTTGGATGCTGAAAGTATAGTTTGCATGTTTCTCTGTTTTTATTGTAAACCCTAGAATACGCTAAAATTCTAGTTTTCATCAAAATAAATTTATTTATGGGAGGTAAATATTAACGTTTGAAAAACCTGAATTTTTATTAGTCTACATATAAGTATTTTCGTGCATCTCTTCTATCTCAAGTCTATAAAGTTGCAAATAAACTGTACTCTGGCTTCATTTATGTAAGGCAAATTGTACCTGACAGCCTGTAGAATGATAATTTCAATGTGTTTAGGAAGCTGTTATCAGCAGAGGACATTTCAAGATTTCTCTAAAGCACACGATAATACTGAATCTCACTGTAATGGAGTGATTAAAGATTTTTTTAAAATTGGTTTTACTGGAATTTGTATATATATATATAAAATTTCTCTGTCTTGCACATATAGACTCAGTATTTAATAATCTGGAATGATGAGTTAACACATTTTTTCCATATATTTTTGAGGATTTCTATGTCTGTCCATTTTACTCGCCTTTAGTAAACTTTTAGTATCAAATTCCACATAAACAATATTTTTAAATAAATTTAAAAATTAAAATGCTTCTTAGGAGAAATGAATGACAGTATTCATTTACTTAATCCTAGGTGGCCTTGTCATTGTAGATGACTTAAAAACATCCCACCTGGCCTCTGGATGCCACTCCAGAAGGGCACAGGTTTTTCTGTAGTCGTGTGATGCATCAGCCAGCCCTGTACTGATGGCTTAAAACTTAGGTATATCTGAGATGACACTAGACACCCATGTTTGGGCAACTGAATCACTCCTGAAGTGACTGTTGTATTAGGGTCTCCTTTACAAAAATGTACCACCAAGGCAGGGAAGAGCCTTGTTGCATTGGGTTTGTGATTAAGCAGGTTGTCAGCAGTCAGGAGAGTTGACATCAGTGTGTTTTTTTGCCTAACTTTCCCGCTCTGGACCTTGACCACCTTCTGTCCTGTTTGTCTGGTGTTCCTGTTCTTCCTCATTATTAGAGCAGGCACCCGTGATGCACGTGCTGGAGCCCATAGAGGAGGTTTCAGAAGAGGAGAAAGGTAATGGTTGATTCATCTCAAAATATAGTGACATATGTTTCTTGACAATAAAAAAGTAAATATTATTTGATACCTAGAGTATTTTTCATTGTATTTGAGTATATTTATGTGAGTTGGGTGGGAACATTCCTTGTATGTGTCAGTCTCCTGTCTGATATTGATGCTTTTAAATTATGATTTCCTTATCCAAGTTCAATATTTTTATGAAAATCTGGCTAACTCTTTAAAGCAGGCACATTCCTTATGTCTAATGGCACTTGAGCTAAGCAGAGCAAAAATGTTTGATGGGGAATACCCCCTTACTAGGAAATTTTTGGAGCTGATGTTATTGCAATGTATTCTTTCTTCTTTTTGAAACTCTGCATAAGAGGATAAAGAGTTCGGATAGAAGGAGGAGGCTGGTGGTGGAGGCTGAAGCTGCCCACTTTCATAGATGCACCAAAGATACTTTTGCAAGTAGTCTAAGTTACACCTACCTCTAAGCAGCCGCAGCTCCAGCCAAGGTTGTGCAATTCAGAATGACATTACATTGCCCAGTGTTGGCAGCTGTTCTTCTGCTTCATCTGAGGAAAACTTGGAGAAGGCCATATTTACAGTGATGGAAGAGGAAGCATTGGTTCATCCTGTGTGATATTCTTCTCCTGAAGAAGGCTAACAGTCCTTGAAATACCAAATAGCTGAATAGCGTAGTAATGTGTACTATGTGCAAAAATCAAAATCAGTCTTGAACCTTACAGCCAATGAGTTTGGATTTTGAAGGAACAATAGTGTTATGAAAACAAAATTGTCATCTGCATATATCTGTGTGTGAGAGGTTTCCCCAGGGAAAATCCAGTGACTCTGAACAGTGAAGACTGCTCACATTTTTGCCGTTCCTTCCGCTGTTTCTCTTGCTTGCCATCTTCTCTCTTGATGGATTGTCTTTGATTCTTCTGCTGTGCCTAAAGGCATGGCCTGCAGTTCAAAAGAGAGAAAGAAAAGAATGCAGTCTGAAAAGACAGACCAAGATTTTTTTTTGTTTTAGCTGAGACAGCCATTTGTAAGGGAGAGTGTGAAAATTCTTGACTTGGCAGATTGTTTCATAGGATTATGTAGGAGCTGCGACAGTGGACCAGACTTAAGGTCCCTCACCTGCAAAATTGTCGAAACTAGTGTTTAGAGGGGTTTTTTTTAAATAAATAAAGAAGAGAACAGTTCCTCAAATAGTTGGCTCTGGCAAAGAGGATTTGGCTTGAGTTGATTAACAAGAATTAGTATTGTCATTAATTAGGATAATGCTGGATAGTCTTGTTACCCATATTAGTATGTAGTAATTATGAGTTTTAAAACGATTTTAGATGGATCTATTTTATTGTAAGGATTAACATCTGAAAGAGACAGGATTTTCAGAAGGCTCCCTGGAGCCTTCCACTTTTAAGATGTCTCATATCTGGATTTCTGGGAGGATTCCGTACTAGATAGTACAACTTTTCCTCACTGGGGATAGACTGATAACCCCATGTTTCCACACTGACTAGTAGTTTACCCCTTCTGGGACTTGGCTCTCCAGCCAAATAATTTTTAATCCCATCTCTATTGCGGACTGAGTTGTCCACACAGTTCCCAAAGTCGGTTAAGATTTCAGCCAGATGCTGTCCTCTTCAACACAGATCTCTTCGTATGGTAGCTGGACTCTTTTTTTAGTTTTCATTGCCTGTAGTTCTTTCCAAGATCCATCGAAAGCCACTTCCTCAAAACAGCCGCCTCTTCAGGATGCTGCTTTTCCGTAAAGAAAAATCAACACTAAATGGAACTACTTTTTAAGCAATCATTGTTTAAAAATAGGAAAAGTGGCACCCTTTTTTTACTTTTTAAGCAATCATTGTTTAAAAATAGGAAAAGTGGGCCCCTTTTTTTTTTTTTTTTTTTTTAAAAACATTTGAAACTCGCAGTATGGAATTACTCCTTCATTTATACTCTTGCCTGTGGGCTGGCAAATGACTCTGCTGCCCTGTAAGGCATACTGGAAACAGGGCATACTCCTGGGATGTTGCATACCCCGCTATGTATGCTTTGCCAGCTTTGCTGACCGCTGCCAGACAGAAGCAGCTACCGTGGTCCCACAGATTGTTGGTTCGCTTTATCTAAGTGGCATTCAGTAAAACTTTGTCTTGCCAGAGACACTGCATAGGCAGGTTCCAAATGGGGATGTTTTGCTTCTTTACTCCCCTGTATGACCCTATAATACTTTGGCCTAACTTAAATGTCAATATTTAATTCAGATGGAAGAATCTGTCTAGATGATTCTTTGTTTCTTGCATAAGACTTCGTGTCATTGCTGACACTTAAAGCAAGGGAGATAGAAACTCTTTTGTCTGCTTTTAAGTATGTATGATGTCATAGACCTGCATGGAAGAAAACACGACACTGAACTTTGTCCTTGAAAGAGTTTAGAAGATATGTATTATCCATCATGTATATTCTGTGAAACGGTCTGCCTCAGACTTAGGCTTTGTCTTTACCAAGGCGTTTGAAAGTGTTACAACTTTCCAAAGATTTGCTTTCAGCAAGTGTTTTTTACCAGAGAACATTACGTTGTTTGAAGCTTTTCTTGAAAATATTTGTCATATTCCTGTTTTAATTCCTGCTAGAGTTCAGCTTTGATTTGAAATACCACTTTTAGAGAACTTAAATAGCGTAAGATAGTCTTTCTTTATCAGAAGTTTTCAAGTACAGTTCTAAAAGTAAAGATCTTTGTTGCTAAATATTCAGGCGTATGTCTTTATAGTGATTCTGTAACAAGAAAAATAAAAGATGCTTATGATGATGGGTATGAGGCACTGAGTGATAGACCTGCTTTTGTAAGCTAGCCCAGGATTTTAAAAAGAATACAACTCTGAGTAGACAAAAACTCCACATGTATGTCTATGGTGTTTCTAAAAAATGCGTGCTTCAGTGCAGTTTTTAGTTGTCTCATATACTGTGGATTTTTTCAAGTGTCTCTTAAATGCATTTTTCCATTCTTATTTTAGAAATTGAGAAAGGTCATCATAAAACAGGTAGCAGTAACCAGCATTTAATAAATGCTTTGAAGACTGATCCTTCTATAACTAAAGACTTACGAGTTGTTTTCGAGCAAGCCCTGGAGGAGAAGCTGGAATCCATGGGAATTAAGGTAGTAAGATTATTTGGAGTTATTTAAAAGAGGGATAATATTTGTCCCACTTTTTTGCTGTACCCTTTCAATTTTGTACTGCAACTCTCAACCTATAATTTCCAGAGCTAAATTTCCACACGTTATAAATAAGTGTAATTCATTACCCTGAGACGAAGTCCATCAAATTGCAGCTGTGGAGGATATGGCTGCACCTGTGAGCACTGTTACCAACTTCTGCAATTTTTCTACAAGCTTTGTGATCTTTGAAGTTTAAAAGAATGTATGTGATTGTAGGATGTAAATCACAGAAGTAATAGCCCCTGTGTTTACAATACAATTTATTTCCTCAGGGTGTTCGCGGTATCCCAAAGCATCGCTTAAATAAAATTTTGCGTGCCATTGAATCTGCTAGAGAATGCAAACAGAAGCAAGAGCCTGACATTCAGCGAATTCGAGAGCATCTTGAACGCCAAGTTAGCTTTAGGGTTGAAGAGAAATCATCATCTTGTAATAGACCTGTTTCCTGTCCTCAGCTTCCTTCAGAAGGTTAAAATGTTTTGGGTTTTTTTATCATTCTCTTACGTTTTAGAACTGCTATTTAAGGTTCTATTTAGCAGCATTTCTGTATAGCTGCTTTCAGAATTTTTCATATAAATATTCTATATAGGTATGGCCAACTAAACAATTTCCTTTAAAGGGTGCTTGATGCTGTGTTTAACTGCAGAAATCTTAGCTCCCGTATTGGCAAGATACATGGTAGCTCTGAACTGCGAAAAAAAAAAAATTTTTTTTTTTTTTTTTGTAAAACTGTATTCTGCAGCAGAGTCATCTTTAATTTTAGAAATTAGATATAGAAGATCCCAAATATTGTTTCTAATAATGAGATGGATAACTTCTGTTGTAGATAAACAGACGTTCAGTCAATTGGGAATTTCCTCATCCACCAGACCACGAAAACCAGTAAAACGATCTTCAACAGCTGTCCGCCCAGCTGAACAGAGAACAGCCATCGATGAGAATACATCTACACCAAAGTAAGAGATGCTGTTCTCATAGTACTCGTATCTCAGGTAACAGTCCTGTGGGTTTGGGTTTTTGTGACTGATGTGAACGTTACCTGCTAATATTGTAAGAACTGAGCAAAGAATTCACACTACTTCTGTATAAACTTTGTGCTTACTTAATTAACTGTCAGTCTTGAAATAACCTGTCTTGTTATTTTTAGATCCAGGAAGCTTTTTGGAAATGGAGTTTCCAGAAAGACATCTAGTATCACGTATGTTTTGTTCCCTTGACTTTTTGAAAAAAACATTTTGGTGACTATTCACGTTTGCCACACAAAAGCTATTATTAAGCTGAAATTATAAACACTTTCTGGACTGCATATTTCATATTTTGTTTTAAAGTATTATTCCGTTTGAGTCTGTTGATATAATCCCTGAAAGACAGCATGTTCTTTCAGCAGACATATTCTTTATTGTGAACGAGAGAGGGATATTCAGTAAAATTGGGTGGTGCCAATTCATTTAAATTCATTCTCAGATGCTTTGTCTGAGCCAGTTAAAAGCATTGAAAGTCTCTGGTGGCCTCATTTTTTCAGTTTGTTGATATTTTCTTACTATGACCAAAATTAAATGCAATATTCCAGATTCCACTCACATCAGGCACATTGAAAAAAACTGAAAAATTTGTAAATTATTTTCATCTAACAGAATATCAGAACAAGCTTTCTGTGGTGCAGATTCCTTGAGCCTGAATTTTGCTCTCCCTGCTGATCCATGAAAGCCTGTCATCGTTTGCCTGGCAAGACTTGTTATATATTGGTGTGTTTTGTAAAGATAGTTGCATAGATGAAAATGATCATGTCTATATAAAAGATCATTTTGTGATAACTTTCTGAGTTTACTGAACAGCATGATTTCATTGAAATAGTTTTATGGATAGTTAGAATTTATGAAAGCTCCTGTGTTTTTCACATGAGAAAAATGCATGTGTTACTGAAAAGGAAAATATGAGGAAGCTTAAATATGTATATATCAGTGCAGTCACTGAAATCCAGTAAGTTCTCGGGTGGCATGTGTTTTTGCTTAGAACACCACCATTCAGTTCAGAGGAAGAACCAGATGAAGACGATACTAAGCAGTCTTCCACACCACCAGAATTACTGCAAAAGCAGTCAGAAACATCAGGCAGCCAAGTCAGTGCTTCTCAGAAGGCTTCTGGCAAAAGCGATGTAGATGGGATGGAGGAAAACAAAGTTGAAACTGGAACACCTGCGAAAACTTCAGAAGGTTTTTTCACTGCTTTTGTATATGCGTGTTGTAACAGCTGGGCGTCATTTTGCATTTCCTGATAATATTTCTGTGTTAGAAAACATGATGAGGGCAGACTACCTAGTCTTGAGTGTATATAGATTTGTGTGCACTTTGTGGTTTTGCTAGTGTGTTTGTATTAATATTGTACTTAGAGATGTGTGTTCAAATTAGATGTGTATCATGCTGCTGTTTTATATAAATGCAAACAGAGAGACAATCTGTGCCTCAGAGAGACTTGTGTCTAAAACAGGTTTTCTCAGCCTTTTACTTATTTTTACTTTGTGGAAGATTTCTAGAGGGTTTACAGAAAAGCCCCTTACTTGTGAATGGAAATTCAATATAATTTTTTATGAACTTTAGGAACAGTTATTCAAAAACTGACTGAACAAGTTGGAAAGAGTCTTTCTAACCATGGAAACGGGAACAAACCAGCTGGAGGAATTGATGTTGCACAGGCATTTATTAAGAAAGAAGAGGTGCAAGAACTGAAGGTATCACTTTTAATAGTCATTATTATCGCATAAAGTAATTGAACGAGATACGTATCTGTTACTCTTTTTTCCATGCTGAAACCATCCTGATGCAGTGAAGAGCTTAATTCTCAAAGACAGTTTTGGAATTGCAGCTAAGTAGTCTTTTTAGGTACATCTTCACTACCACTGCTTATTAGCTTACAGCATGACTGTTACGGATCACTACAGGTAGCCCAAAGTTTGGGCACAGTTGGTGTCATTTTTATCTCCTATTCTAGCAACATAGAGAGCGCCCTTCTTTACTTGCTTTCCTAGTATATTGTTTTGATGGAGGAGAAAATGAATTTGCTTGTCTAAAATTTTGAAATATTTCTATTTCTAGAGTATTGTCTGATATGGAACTTCTAAATAGATTTTAATGAGGGGACAAAAATTCCAATTCTGAGTATGGCCTTTGTTCTGCTGCATCTACTTACAATCATACACCATTTTCAGACGACAGCAGATCTATCACTGATGTGTGTCCATTGAGTATGCCTTGTGTTCACAATCAGAATACTGATACAATTTATTCTTTACCTCTGAGGCTCTTAAAGTCCCAGTCTTCCCCTCAGTTTAGAGTTTTATAGCTGGTAAGCCCCTTCGATGCAAATTGATCATTGCCTGAACAATTTTTTAAAAAGAACAAACGTTACTCCAAATTGGAAGTCAACAGCAGATAATGCTATTTATTTTTTAGTAGTTGTTGTTGGATTGAAGTAGACAGCCAGATACTAGTTCTAGCATTCAAGAAATTATTTTTTCATTAAATAAACAAATAATGATTACTGAAAATCCTAGTATCCGTAATAAAACTGATACCTTAGGGCTTCCTGACTAACAGTTAAATCTGAAATTCATCACTCCTCCCAAAAACAGTGACACTTCTATTTCAGTTTCCAGAAAGGGGCGATCGTCTTAATCGACTTCAGCTGTAATGCTAGGGCAGTCAGATTTAGCCTGTGTGCTTTTAGTTGCCGCTGGTGACACCTAACTTGTCCATTGACTGTATGGGAGCTGCAAATCACACCAGACTCAAAATTACCAATTCAGACATGACTATTACAGTGTAATTTTCTGTCCAAATGTTTCTTTCAAATTCTCTGCAATGTCAGATGATGTAAGACTGTAAAATGTTCACAGTTAAATTTAGGGGATGTTACTTTGTAAAGATCTATAGACGGTTGGCCACTGTGTTAAGGAATTTTGGCTTCAAGAGCAAAACGCTGTAGCAAAATAAGCCTTAAAATCTGTGTTTTAAAGATGCCTTAGTTTTCACTGGTAACCTCTCTTCCCACATCTCTCAAGCCCCTGAACCTCAAGGCAGGGACTGGGGGAATGAAGTCCCTCCTGTCGTGGGTGAAGATCAGGTTTGAGACCACTGAAAGAACCTGTACATACATAAGTCCATGGGACCTGACAAGATGCCACCCAGGGTCCTGAGGAAGTTGGCTGATGTAGTTGCCAAGCCACACTCCATCGTATTTGAAGAGTCGTGGCAGTCAGGCAAAGTTCCTGACTGGAAAAAGGGAGACATCAAACCCATTTTTAAAAAGGGTGAAAAGGAGGACCCTGGGAACTACCAACCAGTCACCCTCACCACTGTGCCTGGTAAGATAGTGGAACAGATCATCCTGGAAGATGTGTTGAAACACACGGAAGATAGAGAGGTGATTAGAGACAGCCACCGTGACTTCACCAAGGGCTAGTCGCGCCTGACTAATCTGGTGGCGTTCTACAATGGAGTGACTGCATCAGTGGACAAGGGAAGAGCTATGGATGTCATCTGCCTGGGCTCTGCAAGGCCTCTGATACTGTCCCCCACAACATGCTTACCTGTAAATTGGAGAGATATGGGTTTGATGGATGGGCTGTTAGGTGGATAAGGAACTGGTTGAGTAGCTGTGTCCAGGGAGTTGCACTCAATGGCTCAGTGTCCAAGTGAAAACCAGGAATGAGTGATGTCCCTCAAGGGTCTGTATTTGGACTAGTCATGTTCAATATTTTTATTAATGACATAGTGGGATTGAGTGCACCCCCAGCAAGTTTGCAGATAACACCAAGCTGGGTGGTGCAGTTGACGCGCTTGAGGGAAGTGATACTATCCAGAGGGACCTCGACAGGCTTGAGGAGTGGGCGCAGGTGAAACTCATGAAGTTCAGCAAGCCCAAACACAAGGTCCTGCACCTGGGCTGGGGCAATCCCCAGTATCAGTACAGACCGGGGAATGAATGCATGGAGAACAGCCCTGTGCAGAAGGACTTGGGGATACTGGTGGATAAAAAAATTGGACATCTGACAATGTGCGCTTGCAGCCCAGAAAGCCAATCATATCCTGGGCTGGATAAAAAGAAGGGTGGCCAGCAGGTTGAAGGAGGTGATTCTGCCCCTCTGCTCTCATGAGACTCCACCTGGAGTACTGAGTCCAGTTCTGGGGTCCCCAGTACAGGAAAGACATGGACTTGTTAGAGCAGGTCCAGAGGAGGGCCATGAAAATGGTTAGAGGGCTGGAACACCTCGCTTTTGAAGAAAAGCTGAGAGAGTTGGTCTTGTCAGCCTGGAGAAGAGAAGGATCTGGGGAGACCTTCTTGCAGCCTTTCAAAATGTAAAGGGGGCTTACATGAAAGATGGAGAAAGACACGGCCTGTAGTGACAGAAGGGGCAGTGGTTTTAAACTGAGAGTAGGTTTAGATTGGATATAAGGAGGAAATTTTAATGATGAGGGTGGTGAGGTACTGGCACAGGTCGTGTGGAGAAGTTGTGGATGCCCTGTCCCTGGCAGTGTTCAAGGCCAGGTTGGATGGGGCTTTGAGCAACCTGGTCTAGTGGAAGGTGTCCCTGCTCATGGCAGGGGGGTTGGACTAGGTGATCTCTAAAGGTCCCTCCCAACCCAGACCATTCTGTGATTCCATGAAAAACATTTTTGCTGTAATTCGTTCAGAATACGTTGTGTCCCTGATGTATTAACACAGTGGTGTGTTGCTGTATGGACGTGAGGAGTTTGAAATGACTTTATGAACCCAGGGCAGGCATTGCTACTCTGTTTCTTTACAGAACAACACATCAGCTTGTATTCTTTGCTAATTATGTACAAAGGTGCATATATTCATGTCCATATTTGTATGTTTAAATGTAGGTATACCGTTCAAGTTAATTCTTTAAATTTTAGGTGGGATTTTCAAAGGTGCCAGAAGACATAAACACAAAATGCCATTGGAATGACGGTTTCTCTGAAAATTCAGAAATTTTTATTGGCTTAAATACTAACAGCTTAAATACTTAGAGCTGCTAATGGTTGTTCTCAGAACCCACAATATCATAAAACCTTTGTAAGACATCCCATTGTCATATGTCTTATAAAGGTCATGTTTTACAGAAGTTACTTTAGAAACATTTTGGAGGGAATTAATTTTATGCTTACCTGCAGCTGTATTACCTGAATTCGCCTGGACCAGACACTCTGTGGGTTATGGTATTGCTTTGGAGTAAGTCTTTGAGTTAGTAAAATTGCATAGCAGTCTTGATTGGTGCTTTGTATTTACACTTGATCAAAACTGAGTTCTGTTTGAAGTTGACAGTTTTCTCTATTTTGTACTTTAAAAATCAGTTGGGACTTAGTGGCTGTTTGAGGAAACCCTTCCTCCAGCATTTCTCAATAGATGTGACTGACTTTCCCATTACCACGCCTTCCAAGCGCAGCTAAGTTAAAACAGCAAAACGTTGAATGCTGGTATGTTAATAATACAGCACACTGAGCAGATCTGTCAGTTTTTTGAAAAACAGTTTGCAGTGTTAAAATTGAGTTGTGTTGCAAGCCAGAGCATTACTGCAGTCTCTTTCGAGACACACGACACGTTCGTATTTGTTGATTTTTCTCCAGTATGTACATACCTGACATTGTTTTCTAATAGCATCTGAATCTTTCTGCTGTGCGACAGAAGCACGTTCTGTATCTTACTGTAATAGTGAGAGACTGCTGCTGTGGAGTAAGGTTGTAGCTTTGGGAGAAACCATCTTCTGCTTTCCGCAGTTGCGCTCTCTCGTAAGGGCTCGATTCCATCGAACCACATCTGACTGACAAATAGGGAAATGCCATAGCTCTTCTTTCCAATGCTGAATGAAGATCTTTAGTTCTCAGGCAGAGGAGATAAGAAAGACCGTGGACTCGCTGCCTTCAGGTTCATCTGTTTGATGTGACGTTCATTTTGGGAACTCATTATGCAGATCCACCACTTGATTAAAACTAGACTTGTACATGCTGACAGTGAGTCTGAAGAGGAATACATATTTTACCTTTGAGCACCGTGCGATTTTTTTAACTTTATTTGATTTTCTCATGAAATAAGTCAGTTTTAAATTGAAAATGCCTTTATTGCAATATTAAATTTTTTTAGTATGAATACAGAATGCATATATAGCAAACTAAACGGCCAACTTCCATGATAATGTCATCTCTTTATTTTCATGTAAGTAATATACATTCTAATGTTTAAAGGACGTTCCATCTCGTTGCAATAGCTAAAATCCCAGAGAAGATGACCCTTTTTTAAGTTACACATGTAGTACCTGAAACGTAGGTTTCTGCCACTTATAGAACTGGCAGAACTTTTAACTTTTGCAGTTCCTGACTTTAAAAAAGCCCCACTTTTAGCTCTGGAATTAGAATAGTGAGTTAATATAGTTTAGGCAGTTGGTTTACGTGGATTTTAAAATTGCGGTGATAGATGTCGTACAGGCCGTGTGCCAGTGCATTTTTCTTTAGCAGTTTCATATTGTTGAGTTGTGGAAGGTCTCAGCACAGCTTGAACGGGCAGAGGAAAAATGCATCTTTGTTGTTCTCCCTCTTAGTTAACAGATGTTGATGACGATGATTGGGATATATCATCAATAGAAGAGGAATTTTTTCTGACGAAAGATGGTAGAGGTCAGAAGGCATCGGCAGTTCAGAAAAATGAGTCAAATGCTGCATCCGTGGTACAGACCCGGGGTCTTCCGAAGAGAAGTGCACCGAAGGAGGAAGGTAACGTATCCATACTTGTACATTGTAAGCCTAAAGCGACTGACACACCGCGAGGAGACCTTCAGTGTAGTGCATGGCACGTTGTGATGCAATATATGGTGTTCTGTAAGAAAAGAACAAGTAAGAAAAACTGTGTGCTTGGTTTTATGTCCTATAGATATCATCTGTGATATTTATGATGCGTACTTATACGTAGACAACGCACACACAGAAATGCACAGGGATGCCAAGAAACCTAGATTTGAGATTTTAAAACATATAGTACTGTCAGGCTTCAACCTCATCTTAAAAATCAATCGTTCAGGATTTTTTTTTTTTAATCCCTTCCCGAATTTAAGGGAGGAGGGAAAGTTTCTTGCTTTGTCTTGAGAATAATAATAAAATTTCAGGTTTGTTCAAGATACCTAAGTGACCTATCAGGCTGAGATAAATATTTGAGCTACTGGTGAAGTAATAGCCTCAATCTTACGCAGAATTTCTATATTAGTTTCTAACCCTAACATTTCAGTATACTTACAGGTTAAAGCTGTGTCGGTTATAGAAAGGTACTTCAGGTTATTTTTAAAGGGAAAATAATGTTGACCCTGACCGCTGGTACTGTGCATTGTATTCTGTGACAGAAGCAGCCTTCGTATTATCAACGCTTGTAATTTCCTCACTGGCTGAAGTTCTGGACTTCCTGAAGTCCACAGTTGTTTGCTCATACACCATGTAATTTTATCTCCTAGATAAATACAAAGTAAAAATACCCCCAAAATATTATTAAGAATTGTTAAAATTTTTTTGTTATTTTAACAGGCCTTCATGAAGCTGATAACACGAACACGCTAAAAAGCAGCTTAGTCACCATCACAGACTGGAGTGATTCTTCAGACATATAATTGCTGCATTCCTGGTGGGAGGCACTGCGGCCGGCTTCTGCTGGGGTTGAAAACAGAGTTGAAATTGCCACAGGTTTCCTATGCATTTCTCCTACTGGGCACGCAGTAACGAGGAATTACCGTTCACAGAGCGCTGGTGTCTTGCAGTCCTGACTTTGAAACAAGAATGTTCATATACGTGTTACTGGACGGGTCTGTTTGGAAACTGAGAGCGAGTTCTTCTTTCTTGTGAACTCAGTGGTGAAAGTCTTCTTGATTTCACTGAGGTGAAGATTTTGCCTCTAATGTTTACGTTAAAGATTGAAACTGGTCTTGCAAGAAAGCCTGTTAACCAGTGAACAGAATTTACTCCAGGGTATTACTTCATAAATTTTCTTAATGCATATTTTCTTGTATTTTATCATAAACTTTGTATAAAATTGTGAACATTTTAAATAAAATATTTCCATGTGTTAAAATGTTACATTTCTATCACAGTTTACAATAAAGACCAAATGAAAAGAAAAAAAGGCCTCAGCTGTAAAACCTAGTTATTATTAAATGCGTCGTATTTTGGGAAGTTGCTCCTTTTTTTTTCTTTTTTTATTAGAGCCAAGTGTTAGTTAAAATAAAAGCACAAAGATTGGAAAAAAAATTCAAACGTCAAGCTACGGTGAGGAAAGTACTGCCCTGCCGTTGCGCAAGTGCTTTCATACTTCTGTTTGTCCACATTGACTGCCTTCTTAAAAAAACCACAAGGGTGTTTTGACTTAAATGAAATTCAAATATAAAGTCAAATAAAAAAAACCTTGAATGGCTTTGTAGTTCTGATGTATCTTAGAAGGTATTGGATGCAAACCCTTTTTTGTCATACTGTGCCTGTTAATAAATAGGGCTATTCATTTTTTGTATTTACATCTTTGTCCCAAAATAACCAATGTGTTGAAACTCCAAGGGTCCGTCAGTTCAGACCTCAGGACAGACCCGAGCGTGTGTCTGATTTTCAGGGCTCAGTGTCGAGTGTATTTTGTGGTTATCCATAATCTCTGATCTCATTTATTGGCTTGTTGTACAGATACTCCCTCAAAAGCTGTCACTGTTCTATGACAGGTGAAAATGAAAAAAAGTACTGGCTGAATTTTTGAGAGTCGCCGTCCTGGAGGTGGCCAAAAAACGTGTGGATACGGCACTTCAGGACATGGTTTCACAGGCGTGGTGGTGTTGGGTTGCGTTTACGGGGGCGGCCCTCCGGCAGCGCCACTGGCAGCGCGGACCAGCTGGTACGGCCGGGGGGTTTCCGGAGTCATTCCGGACCCGAAGGTGTCCCAGCAGAGGGAACGGGACAAGCCCCTGGGGCTGCTGGGCTGAGGCACAGAGCAGATGCGGGGTGTGGGAGCTGGCTCCCAGCCGGGTCTGCCCAGCGCAGAGCTCCTGGCGGGCTGCACCCTCGGCCCCCGCTCTCCCTGCACACAGAAGCCCACCATCGTGCCTGCCTTCTTCTCGTACACGCCATCTTAGGCCACGCAACTTCTTCTTAGGCTGTGCAAGACCCTCTCCAGTGACTGCTTTTGTGACAGCTGGCCCCGATTATCTGTGCCTGCTCCCGCCTCCCCAGACCCCGAGTTTATTTTCACTCCACCCCATCTCCTCCTCTCCTCACTCCTACACAGGGCACCCAGCTGACCAAGCCGCGTGTTCCTCCACCCCAGCAATGTGACGAGGAGATGGGAGCCCACCGATTCCCACTGACTGTCGTCAGCTGGCGCTGCAGTTACAGCGTGCTCTGCAACGCCAACGTCGCTGCTCCTCGGTGGTGGGGTATTTTACGCATCAACCCGCACAGAGCAGGGCTGGTCTGTCCTGCGCCGAACCTGTTTCGGAAACGGCCACGGTGACGCACTGCAGTCAGTCTGATGATGCGTGCGATGCCATTCCCATAAGCAACTGACATACTGCATTGGTAAATACATCATTTATTTTTTTTTTCAAGAAAGCAACATCAGCTCGTGATTTCCAGGTACAAACTTCACAATACCAACATCAATCTTAAAATATTATATAATAAAATTTACATCGATATGTAAAAAGCTGCAAGCTAATGTTTCAAAAAGTCATTGTCTGAGTGGTAAGTACATTGGGGTGGGGGGAAATCACTCTGAATGAAACGTACAAACTCATTTTTAAAACGCCCTGGATCTTCCAATGGTACAGTTAAACATAAGCGTTCTTGTCAAAGGGCTTTGGCGGGGTTTTGTCTGGGACGCTGTTGTGGACCTTTGCACGAGAAGACATCACAGATGCGGCTCCATTATATGCATACCCCCTCCTGAAAAGGAAAGAGAATCAACCATTTGCAGCTCACCCCACAGACAGGTAACCTCTCTGTACCCACGCACGACAGCAATATAAAACTAGAAGAACTGCACAGGAACGTACCTATGAATTCCAGGGGAAGGGGCAGGGGGGGACCTTCCTTGCCTCTGTGGTCTCATTCCGGTTTGACACTTCCCCTCCTGCACCGCTCTTTGCAATTCACTTCTATATCACAGAATCATAGAACGCTTTGGCTTGGAAGGCACCTTTAGAGGTCATCTAGCCCAGCCGCCCTGCCATAAGCAGGGACATCTTCAACTAGACCAGGTTGCTCAGAGCCCCGTTCAACCTGGCCTTGAATGCTTCCAGGGATGGAGCATCCACAACTTCTCTGGGCAACCTGTGCCAGAGTTTCACCACCCTTGTAAATTAGCTTCTAGGACGATCTGTTCCATGCAGAAACTCCTACACCTCGTTCACAGCCAAGTAAATTAGGGTCAAATCGTTAAAATATTTAGGCTGTGGCAGATCCTAGGTGAACAGTTACTCCCTCCAGCTGTGCCTCTTCATCATCGCCCCTCTTCTGCTGGTGGAGGTCCCACTGCCGCCACCACTGTCTTTCACCTCTCTCACTTTTCATCTGATGATTTGTGATTAAATAAAATTGTCTATTCACATCTATAAAGTGACCTGATCAATTTTCCTACATCAGTGAATGCATTTTTTCCAGCCATAGTAGATTTACTGAGTATATGGAACACAAGTATTAGTTCCGAGTCAACAACTTTTCTTAATTACATTATCGATGGATAGAGCATTATCCTTAAATCCCGCTATTCCCTTTCATCCACACAATCGTTTTCTGAACTTCACTACAAAGTGTTTTGGAAAAGCAGCCAAGCCACATACATCTAGCAGGTACAAATGCACTAGGACTGCGTTCTTTCAGCAAGTACAACTCGTGTTTTACCTTGGAGAATGACTGCTTTCAGCGATTGAGAAGCAGAATATAGTGCCACCAATTATGCAGAGGGACGCTCCAGCCCATCCAATGAACAAAGCTGCTCCTAATTCATACCTACAGGAAGTTAATAAATGGGTTTCACAAAAGAGAACATGGATTTAACAAGGGGTTTTTTTCCGCATAAAAGAACCACAATGTTTTTTTCCTGAATAACTTTCTGTTGACATGCAGGTTGTTCATCACAAAATCTCACCCACGTTCTTTTCATCATTTCCCCTTTCACTCGGGAGGCAAACTCTGTCCCCACAGTACTGCTGGGCAACGCTCATCCCCCCGCGCAGCCGGCCGGGGTGCCTGGCTCTCCCACATCTCCTCCTGGACTGCTCAGCTGCGGGGTTACAGGACCCTTCGGCCCGTTCACAGCGCGTGGCTCCTGTCCCCTTGGACCATTTCAGTTTCGTTCCCGGTGGCTCCCAAACTGGACCAGGGCTTTCTCTGAGCAGGCGACCAGAGCTGCTGTCTACAACCCTCCTCAACCCTCCCCTCTGGGTCTTGGGAGCTCTCCCCTTCCCCATCCCCACTCCGGTCTGCTTAAAACATCAAGTTTTTGTACATACCTATAACATGCATATACACACAGGGGGGCACAGAATCACAGAATGGTAGGGGTTGGAAGGGACCTCTGTGGGTCATCTAGTCCAACCCTCCTGCCGAAGCAGGGTCACCTACAGCAGGCTGCCAAGGACCTTGTCCAGGCGGGGCCTTGTCCAGAGAAGGAGACTCCACAACCCCCCCGGGCAGCCTGTTCCAGCGCTCCGTCACCCTCAGAGGGCAGAAGTTCTTCCTCATGTTCAGACGGAACTTCCTGTGCTTCAGTTTGTGCCCATTGCCCCTTGTCCTGTCGCTGGGCACCACTGAAAAGAGTCTGGCCCCATCCTCCTGACACCCACCCATAAGATATTTGTAAGCATTTATTAGGTCCCCTCTCAGCCTTCCCTTCTTCAGGCTGAACACGTGCACATACAGCTGTGCACACACGCACGCACAAGCAGACAGACACGTGTGCACGCCTGTGCCAGCAACTTTCTGCTCCTCTGGTCCCTGGGGCCGGATTCAGGCTGGAAGGCGCCGCTTCCCTCCGAGCCCTCGGGCACGGCTCCAGGTCACTCTCTGCAGTCCCCTCTGCCACCCAGGCAGCCACCATTTGTTTGCAGCCAGCAACTGCTCAGTCCGGCTCCGAGAGGAGATGGTGCTGCTCTAGGAGGACTCTCACACGAGGGGAAGTCCCAGTTTCTAAAGCTACAGCAGTAAATGAAGGAAAAGAAGGGCATAGGGAAGAGATTCTTTTCCTCCTCCTGCTCGAGCTCAGTAGCCATAACCTGAGCTCTGGAGCTTCAAGATGAGTGGCAAGCCACGGGTGCCACTTATCTTCTCCCTTCTCCAGCTCTTTGCCTGAGGTGCCGCTCTTTAAAAACACTGTCAAGATGACCCGCATGAGACCGCAGGCCCGACAGTCTCCGGAGTCTCACATTCCTCACAGAATCATAGGATGGTAGGGGTTGGAAGGGATCTCTGTGGGTCATCTAGTCCACCCCCCCTGCCGAAGCACGGTCACCTACAGCAGGCTGCACAGGACCTTGTCCAGGTAGGTCTTGAATATCTCCAGAGAAGGAGACTCCACAACCTCCCTGGGCAGCCTGTTCCAGGGCTCCGTCACCCTCAGAGTGAGGAAGTTCTTCCTCAT